GAGCCAACACTTCCTGTTTGCTCTCAACCAAGTCCTGTTACCTAATCCCCTACCAGTAGTTCGCTCGCTCACAACTTGTCTTTGCAACCACACTGGAAATGAATGTGGTTTGTTTGCAAAACCCAAAATCGGAAATGCTCTAACAGAGTCTGATTTTCAGGGAGTAACGATTAGTTTCAACTGACAGAGTGCCGTATAATGTGCGCACGCGCCGTGACCGCGACGTCGCGCGGACCTATCTAATGGCCGACTTATCTACAGGATTCAGTGTATTTCGTAATATACGAGAATACCTTCACAAAAATATGAAAAAAGAGCCCTAATGTGTACATTTTTATAGCAGTCGAAAACAGCAGACAACACCAAAACAATGTCACACGTAAGCGACAGAGGAAAGCATGGGTCACGAGAAAGCGACAGAGCAAAGCATGGGTCACGAGAAAGCGACAGACGAAGGCGTCGGTCGCGAGAAAGCGAAAAAGGAAAGCAGGGGTCACGAGAAAGCGACAGGAGAAGGCGTCCGTCACGAGAAAGCGAAAAAGGAAAGCAGGGGTCACGAGAAAGCGACAGGAGAAGGCGTCCGTCACGAGAAAGCGAAAAAGGAAAGCAGGGGTCACGAGAAAGCGACAGGACGAAGGCGTCGGTCGCGAGGAAACGAAAAAGAAAAGCAGGGGTCTCGAGAAAGCGGCAGACAAAAGCGTCGGTTGCGAGAGAGCGACAGAAGAAAACGTCGGTCACGGGAAAGCGACAGAGGAAGCCACAGGTCACGAGAAAGCGACAGAGGAAGGCATTGGAATGATGAAAAGGCCGCGCTGTTAGCAGGAAAGAGTGGAAAGGAATAATTCGGGGAAGTCATACGCGCTTTTCTGAATCAGAGGCCCGGATTGCACTGCTTTTTTCTCACCTACTTTACAAATATCATCCAAAAAATCATCTCGTAAATACTTGGATTATTTACGAATAAATGGCTTTGTTTTACCTGTGTCTAGTTCACTAGACGCTTCTCCGGCGGCTTAATCTATTATGGCATTCTCTTCAGACATATCAGCTGCTTTGAAACTAGCAGCCATGAGTAAATGGATGATACAATAGCGTGTACTCTGCATGGTTCCACAGTGCTCATTCGTTAAGTTTGTCCGGGTGTGTACACTTTGTATCGAGGAGATAGATTGGTCGTAATCGCGTACCTAGGCGACAGCTAGTCCGCAATTACGACCCCACTCACCGTGGTATGCAATAATATACGCTATAGTTTGATTAAAAACTGGATGTTCTTCGATTAAACGGTAACAACGTTGATTCCAACAAAGGGGAAGCAGTGGACATTTCTGCATGAGGTAACGATGGTGAAACATTGGCGTTCATTGAAGTGGAAGAAAGTGATAACAACTGATAGGAACTGGAAAGGGTCATCAGATGGCTGCTTCAGAAACTGATTGGACGCATTGTAATTATAGTGGTTCCAACAACCAATACGGGGTTGGGGGGGGGCACTGATGACTGGTGATGGGCAGAAATAAAGTGGTTGATGAGCACTTATACGAGCCTGCTTCGCTTCTTTACACTCCTCACGACAAGGCTGCTACCACGGTGGTAGCAGTATCAAAGGGCAGAGGGCCCCTGTTTCCTGTTTCAACCAGTGAGCATCCGCCACTGGAAGTTGATGACCGCTTCCCGTCATCCGTTGAGTGATGCTCAAGTGTTTGTCGAAGCGATATTAACGCTGGTAAGGCCACTCCTATCCTGGGCTATACACAGCTGCGAAGCAAAATCCTAGTTCTCACTCCATGAAATGCTCTCAAATGCCTTTCTTTAACGAGGGTTTTCCAGAAATCTCTCATAGCTAAAAATGTGGTAATTACGCAATATCAGCTGTTTCGCATGCAACGATGCAGAATCTAGTTTGTTGAAAAACATTTTTTTTCGCCAAGTTCTTTCAAATGCGTCGTGTCTGACAGCAGCAAAAAGCTATAGCTTCCACGCGAACAAGTCGAAAATTCCAACAACAAGGGTACAATAAAATGAATAAATTTTGACCAGTAATCTATTGGAATTCTATTTCTTCAAGTAAGTTGGGAAGTACGGTTGCCCATGTTCGATTAGAGATTTTAATAGGCTGTCCGTCTACTGCCCCAATGATTAACTCTCTAAGCTTACGGACCTTGTGGAATTGTGCATTACTCTAATGGATCATACGCACCATGAAGACCCTCACATCCTCGATTGGGTTTTAGTCGGGGCTACTCGCTGGCCAGGACCAAAAGAAGCGGTTTGGTAACAACTGAATCACGCTCGAGTGCTTCTACTGTCATAAACTGGTGCATTATCTTGCATGAAAACGGGACTTTCTTGCTGATTTCTACGCCAGAAGCAAGGAGACGTTGTCGCGTGACTTTCAGATGACGGAAGAAATAATTTCTTTTGTCATAGTTTCAGACGAACCCTTGATGCGGTAGCAGCCCAGACCATCCTTTGTTGAATTTGTACCCGAGAAAATGAAAACTTATCTTCCCGAATGTGTGTCAGCGGTCAGTTTTCGTCGGCGTCGCGGGCTGGTAATATTATTCTTCTCATTCAGAAAACACGACTGCCAAAAGAAAAAATTTTCAAAAAAAGCAAGCACAGACAAGCAGTAGAGACCGCAGCAAGCCAAAAGCTAACCTCACTCCATTGGGTTCGGCAACATCTTCGAGCAAAGCCAATTAGGTTTTCGCGATGGTTTTTCGTTAGGAACAGTACGTAACTCATATTCCCCCTATCAGTGATCTCGGGAATTTTTCAAAAGACGCCTAACAGTATCCTCCGAGACATTGACCTGCGTAGATGACTTGATTTCCTCGACACGACACTGCAGAGTTCGTGGGTTCATTTTCAAAGGCATTTAAAGGCGTCACTCACCACTAGTCATCACTAATGGGGGCAAGGTAGTCCTGCCTGTGAGGAAGGATTTATCGCTTTTTTGGCTCAAAAATACGTGGAAACGACGCCACCCAATCGCGATGAAGGCAGTGTTCGCGCTTTGCCCCACCACAACCCCAGTATTCATTCATTCAGTATTTAACCCCAGTATTTCAGACACCTTCCTCGTGGTGCGGTTGTTCCACTGCTAGCTGTTTCCATTCTAATGGTGAGAGAAAGGTGACAATGGAACAAAGAGCTGCTGTTACCGTCCGTACGCACCCTCTCTTCGCAGTATGGTCGTCGTGCATGAACACATCAGAGTTCATACCTTGAGCGCTACGGAGGGTTTTTTCTGTTTTTCTCTTGATCAGCGATTCGCTTACCACTTTGTCATTGAAATTTGAGCCCCACGTCCCACCGTTTCTGATCATAAGATGCATCCTATAGTTAGAGGCAATCTACACTCTATTCGCTACAGACGGTTGGGCGTGTTAGCCAGTATGAGTGTGTCACCCAGTTGAGGCCATTCTCTGCCTTCTTGTTGAAGTGCGCATGCGACAAAAAGTTGTAGAAAACGAGTAATACGAAGGATATGATGCAGTATTGTCACTTGCTCGCTTCAACAACTGGTGGAGAACGAATTTGGCACCGCGCCAAACGCAGCCGCACTGACACGCCCAACCGTCCGCAGAGAACAACACTATATCACTGTCATAGTTCCCCAGGATCCTACTTTATATAATCGGCTATGTCCGTGTGTGTGTGTGTGTGTGTGTGTGTGCGTCTGTCTGTCTGTCACGAAATTCATAGCGCCGGTCCCAGTAGCAGTGAGACATTGATTTCAAGAAGTGATGTAGGGGTGTGACGGGAACACTATTGGTGGGTGACAGGAAGTGATATCAGTTGATAAGATCCGATAAGAGGCGTTAGAAGGGCGAGGTTACCATATTCATAATGAAAGTAACAGCTAGCTCTTAATTTCAAGATATGATATAGGATATGGACCAAGAACATTATTGGTGGGTAACAAGAACTGTCAGCTGCTGATAAGATTCGATAAGGGGCGTGAGAAGGAGAAGGTTGCCATATTCATAACGCGGGTGACAGCAACAGCGAGGCGCACGTTTTAGCAAGTGATATAGAGGTGAGATGGGGACATCAACCGTGGGTGACTGGAAGCGATAACTACTGATAGGGGCTGATAAGGGAAGTTGCAGTCGTCGTCGCTGTTCAAGGTGGTTCACGCTACCAAATCATAGAGATTTAGTGATGAGGACATTGATGACGGGTGACAGGTAATCTTATCAATCGATAAAACAGATTAGATACCATCTGCGCGACATTTTTCTCACTTCCTACCGCTTAAATGCCAAGTATTAGAGGCTCAGTGTGTGCTCTTCCCTTTGATGTCAACGGAAAAGGTCGTCCATTGAAGTATTCGCTATTAGGTGCATGAAATAGTGTCGAGCGGGGGGGAGGGGCTGAGGGCATATAATTGCTGAAACGGGAAAATCGAGAAATTAATCAATCAACAAAATTTTGGGAAATCCGCCTGCTATGTCATCTATTAGGAGATGGCACTCTCAACTGAAGCAAAATCAGGAAGGACCCAACAACTGGAAATGCGGGCGTTCTCTCGTCGGTAACATTCGAGCTCTCCAATGTGAAGTGCTCCTTTCCAGTGCCACCCATGACTCTGCAGTTATGTCTGCACCGAGTGTTAAGTGTTCATCCAGACCAATTGAACTCCACCCATTCTGATGTCGCAACTGCGGTCCGTAACCTTATGGTGCAGCCTTCTCACGGTTGAAAGTCTATAGTAAGCAAGGGGGACCAGATGTTGGTAGAGAGTGACTGATGTTGAACTTTTTTCAACTCATTTTCCTACATAAAAAATAATTGCCTCCGTTTGGCACATTTAGTGCATTCTACCTCGCCCAAGGGAAGAGTGCCTGGGACAGGTCGGCCCGGCGAAGCCGGGCCGTGAAACAGAAGGAGGGCACCCGGCGGCAGCCGGGTGATCCGACTGGTCCACAATATAATGTGCGCGCTAGTACGCTTCAGCAGGACCTTGCGACTTCATGAACTTCCAAGTTCAATAAGTAAGCCTCCCCTCATTCAAACATCAGTTTCGTTTTTGCAAACTGACGCTGCTCACTGGCTTTACAGACTGGAAGTCCACCCTCGTTTTGCTGAGTGTCCATCCCGGTACGATTACACTTCGTATGGGAATGGAATACGGGTTACTCTTGCAAGAGTTACAGTCCTCATCATTGCGGACCGGTGGGGCGTGGCAGTTCTGGTGCGGTTTGGCAGAGTCGTTCTGCACCAGTTTTTGAAGCGGGCAAAGCATTACTGTATTATATCCTTCGTATTACTCGTTTTCTACCACTTTTTGTCGCATACGCGTTTCAACAAAAAGGCTGAGAACGGCTTCAACAGTGTGCGCACTCCTTCTGGCTGACACGCCCCACCGGTCCGCAATGATGAGGACTATAGCTCGTAACTCCAACGGTTTGCCCATATTTATTTATAATCATGCTCGTTGCGGATGAAAGGGCTGTCAGGCAGTATGGGCGTGTCATGGCGCCAGACGCTTTCTCTGTCAGTTGTTGAAGAGGTATGTGACAAGAATTGTGGAAAACGATTGATACGAACGAATAATACAGCCTCGTCAGTTACGCGATTCAACAGCTGGTGGAGAGCGTGTCTGGCATCGCCCCAACCCATCCTTCCTAACACCCCCCTTCTTCCGTAGCGAATTAGACTATACGTCAACAGGGAAGAAGCACTTGTGCAGTCATTTAACCACATGCGATAGGGAACATTTCAAATATTCTCAAATCAGGGTACTTAGCAAGAATCGTAATTCGCCGCGCTAGTGAGCTTTACGTGCGACGTCGCGCCCGCTAATGACGACTGTGATATTGGTCGAGAATAG